GGCTCAGTTAAAACCTTTAACATGATTATCACTACTATTATTTATTATTTATTTTTATTTGCTCATTTATTTATTTATTTCATTGTTGCGTGTGTGTGTGTGTGTGTGTGTGTATGTGTGAGAGCCTATACAGTGTCTGTTTAGGTAGCCCGCCTAGAATAGCTCTGCTAACTGCGGGCTACAAAAGCCTTTATTTCTTTCATTTTAAAAAATAAAGTCAATGTTGTTGAGATGTATTTTGCATCTATTTTGTCAACTAAGAATTGGGGCTGTAATGGGAAAACATCTGCCTAAGGTCTCCATGGTGAGGTCTCCAATGGTGGGGTGGGCAGTTAAATTGAAGTGTGATACTTAGCAAGCATGAGCAATAGGAAATTTATTTCACAGCTAGAAATTTTTTGTAATCAATCAAATCAGTCAAGAATTTCTTTAGCTGGTGATCATTTCCTTTCTTCTCATGACCTTATTATGTTAGTCAGCCTTTGGGGTGAAAAGATTAATTAAGAGAGAATATTGAATTATTCAAATGATTTTGTTTTCACGTTCATCAGCTTCAGTGGTTAAATGGCGACATTGTCTGTCTACAAGAAGTGGACCCAGCCTACTTTGCAGAAATCCTTGAGGAAGACATGTTTTCTTTAGGGTATGAAGGGCTGTTTGTACAGAAGTGTCCCAGCACAGGTCGACAAGGTGTTGCATTGTTCTCCAAAACGGAGAAGTTTGAACTAGAACAGTCAAAAACCTTGGTTATCAATGAGGTTGCATCAGTTACCTCTATAGAGGCTGAGTGTCAACAGTTTGGAGAGGTTGTAATACTTGCAGCATTGAGGCATAAAAGTACCAATGTGGTGCTACTGACAGGTAAGATAATTTAGGATTGTTGGTTTCAAAAGTTTTGAAGATACTGACTTCTCTCTTCTCCCTTTGACCCCTAACAGTGACTGATATCTAATTTCTCCTCGCGATGTCGCCACTTAATCATACATTAAGATTACAGGAATAAAGAAAATGGTCACCAACTAAAGTAGCTCTTGATTGTTAATAAAATTCTATTTTTCAGAACTTTAGGAAATGTATAGAGAACAGAATAGAGAATGTAGGTACCGAAGTTAGGATAGAAATGGTTAATTGATTTGCTTTGATTATAACACTTAGAAAAATTGATTGGGATTATTGTATTTGGTTCTTGAGCCAAACACCCTGCCTCTGACTCTCCACCAGGGAGCGTAAATAGGTACAGCTGGCAAACAAGCAGGAAAGATTGAAAAAATACCAGGGATCAACCTGAAATAGACCAGCAACACATTCAAGATCAGATGCATTACTTGCACCTGTTTCAGGCTTCATAAAACTGGAAGACTGAGCTCCAGTTGTGTCAGCCAGTCACATCCCCGGTCATAGGTCTGAGGTTGTGCTGTACAGTGGATACCCTTGGGTTAGCCCAGTAACTTCCAAGAACTGGTTGTAAATTCTCCCTTCTAGCTGTTATAATAATAATAATAATGATAATAATAATAATAATAATGACCTTTATTAGTATACTTCCACATAGTGGCTCTTCACTACTAATATAAAAACTAACTATATACTTACAATAAATCAAAATTGATAAAATAGTGAATAATAAAAACTATACTAGATTATCCATTTCATGTCAGTATGTGTCTCTTAAGATTTATACAAAAAAGTGCATGGTCACTGCAATTCCTTAGCTCCGCTGGAAGCTTATTAAAAGCTTCTGCAGCTTGATCTTGTAGAGTGTTCTTCTCAATTTTGTTGGCAAGTTCTAATATTGGTGCAGCTAATGACCTAAGACTATATCCATTTACAACGTGTTGCTTGAGTTTTAGTGGAAAGTCCTCATTGTATAATGACTTGTGCGCTAGCTTAGCTATATTAAATTCTAAACGCTCTTTGATTGTGAGCCAACCTAGCTTTCTAACATCCTGGAGTCCAGCAAATTTAGTCAACACAAAACCTGCACACGTTAAGTTGAGAGGAAATTGAATGTTTTATTGTATTATAGTTTCTTATTTAGTTTGAAATGTGTCTTAGTATAATCATAAGTTGGCTAGATACTATTTTTTTAAGTAGATGACCCCACAAGCTTTTTAGCTTTAATTCTTATCGTGTATAAATAAAGATTCTACTACTACTACTACTACTACTACTACTACTACTACTGCTACTGCTACTGCTACTGCTACTGCTACTGCTACTGCTACTACTACTACTACTACTACTACTACTACTACTACTGCTACTGCTACTGCTACTGCTACTGCTACTGCTACTACTACTACTACTACTACTACTACTACTACTACTGCTACT